TATCGCTTAAAAATAGAAAAAAGAAAGAACCGTCCAGAAACCGCTTAGGCGCCCGCCTAGGCGTCTAAGCGCTGGGCGCCAAGTCCGGCGCCTAGGGGCGCCCAGCGTTTAATGTAACACTGATGAGTTGTATCACTTAGGCCTCATCTAATATTTCGTCTTGGGCCCTAAAATTCCTAGGTACGCCCTGCTCCATGGAAAAGCTCTTGTCACCCCGTCGAGCCCCGTTCGCTTAGGCATAATGTAAATGAGTCTGTTAAGAAAAGCTAAATACTAGCTCTAACATATCAAATTAGCTCACCGAATTCATTAGTCATGTTAGTTTGCTGCTTCTGTTTTTTTTGGGATGCTCACTGAATTCATTAGTCAAGTTTTTTGGGTTTATCAGCAGCTTGTTCCCTTTTGAGTCCCATATCATGATTCGTGTATCTTTGAATATATGGGGAAAGATAGTTTTACCTCTTTTAAATGTTAGAAAAGGTTCCCTTTTTGCTCAGTGCAGATATTGAGTTAAAAACTAGGTACCTGCTTCTGGTTAATCCCTTTTTGCTGTTCACACTTCTTTTTTTCTTTAATTTTTTCTTCTGTTCACACTCCACACTTCACACTTCACAATTTTGAAAATAGGAATACAATATGAATATACATATTTAATGAATGAAGTATCGATATTTAATTTATTAGTTGTGTTGGGAAATTTGATTGATCCTTCATCCTTGCAGCTTGCTACTTAACTAAGTATAATCTGTAAAAAAAGAAAAACAAAGTCAGTGAGCATTTTTGATTGAGTATATATATATATTTATCTTCAAGTATCGCAATTAAAAATAGAAAAAAGAAAGAACCGTCCAGAAACCGCTTAGGCGCCCGCCTAGGCGTCTAAGCGCTGGGCGCCAAGTCCGGCGCCTAGGGACGCCCAACGTTTAATGTAACAGTGATGAGTTGTATCACTTAGGCCTCATCTAATATTTCGTCTTAGGCCCTAAAATTCCTAGGTACGCCCTGCTCTATGGAAAAGCTCCTATCACCCCCTCGAGCCCCGTTCGCTTTCTTGCCGCCCTTTTCCTTCTCTCCCTCTTCGTCTTCGATCAGCATACGATCAGGCCAGCTAGGGTTTCGGATTCAGCCCACCCCTCCTCGGCGATTCGAACCACTTAGGGTTTCATTGAGCAGTTCAGAAGGAGTCACGACTACGAAGGTAAAGATCTCCATTCCCGATTTCTTGGCTGGGGAATTTTCACGAACGCAACCCTGCCTTTTATTGACTGCATGCTTGTTTTTTGTTTTTTTTGTGATTATTTCGTTGCTAAGTTTTCTTAATCTCATATACTATAATCTTGAAATGTTTCTCAAAAGTGGTATCTTTTGGATTTTTGAATAAAGATATGATTTTTTATAAGTTTACAGGAGGGAATATTTTGGTAAAACTTTTAGTAAAAAATAAATATCACATGGTATAGGTCATTTTTTTTTCTTCTTCTGAATTTGTAATGTAGGGCTCCACTGTTGAATTTTGAATTTCAGGTTCTTAATTTTTTTAAAAAAATAGAGATGATCCTTTGGCAGTCCCCAATTTATAGGTAGCTGTATTCCATCCAATAATTGGGCTTGTGAATCTTCAATAATGATTAAGTTTGATCCGGAATGATCTAATTTTTTGGTGATCAGTTTTCTTCAATTTTCCTCATATTTGGACAATTGGTTGAATATGTTTTGGCTGTGTAAACTTTAATGTTTTGGCTGTGTGAACTTTAATGTTTTAGATGCAGCATCATCGTGAAGATGAGGTTGTTGATCTTGAGTCTTTTAGCATTATGGCTTTATCACCTTTAGATGGCCGATATTTGCAGAAAGTCAAGGATTTGCACCCATTCTTTAGTGAATATGGGTTAATCCGTTACCGTGTAATGGTTGAGGTAATTTTCATTAAATTCTCCTGTAAGAATACATATTTAATAAGTATTTTTTTATTCAACACCAGTGCACAGTGTTAGTCTTACATTATGTTTTTTTAAGAATAGTGGTTTCATATTTAAATGTAGATTATACAATCATTTTTGTAGCGAATGATAAAGAAATGTTTCTGGTAAAGCATGAAGAAACTGTTGTTGATTGGATATCCTTGTTCCGTCTGGCTTACAAATCATAATGTCTCAGGTATTTAGATAAAAGGTTTAAAGCCTTAATTAAAGGTTTAAAGTTGTGCCAAAAATGTTCCGTGAACCGTTAGGATATTTATATTTGATATGCATATCTGACATTAATACCCCTCTTCTAATAAATTTGCATATGATGTAGTATTAGCAGTTTCTGTATGAGTCCATCGAACATTGTTTATTTAGGTCATGCTTATTAGTGTGCTTTCTTTTACAATCTAACAAAACGTCCAGCCTCTGCTTTGATATAGGTAGCAATCTTCATTAAAACTTGTCATAATGTAGTCATGTCTTGGGTAATAGGTAGCAATCTTCATTAAAACTTGTCATAATGTAGTCATGTCTTGGGTAATGGAGAAAGAGGTAACTAACAAGTAAAAAATGTTTACCTCTTTCTTCATTACCCATCATGATCTGATTAAGCTGGCCACTGTAGTTATTTTAATGTTAGCTACTTAGTGCAAAATGTTAATATGAAGCGATTCTTTTGTAGGTAAAATGGTTGCTAAAATTATCAGAAATACCTGAAATCAAGGAGGTTCAAAGCTTTAGCGAGAATGCCAGGTCTTATTTAGAAAGTATAGTTAGTGGCTTCAGCAAAGCTGATGCTCTGGAAGTGAAAAAGATTGAAAAAGTAACTTGTATAGAAATTATTAGATGGTTGTAAATTGGATAGAAATTATGTTGACAGCAAGACAAGAATTCATCTTGAAATGGATCCTCCACATTTCTATGATCTTGTAATTCACAGAATTTAGCATCTTGCATTAGTGACGAATTCAAATTCAACATATGCCCAACCCAAATAGCTAAAGCAAGAACAGAACAAACGACATACATGAAGCAAAGAACGACGACAGCGGCGCATTTCCTACCAATAACACATCTAGAAGCTTCCGGATTCCTTGTAGTGTACTTTTGTATGCCAAGAGAGAATACCCAGATCCAATACCCAAATTCCTCAAAACAGTGGAATCGGTCAAATCCCTCTGTCAATGATTACACATGCAATAAGTATAGTATCACTTTACCAGAATGAGACACTAAATACGTGTTTTTTGAACTGTGATATAGCACTGAACTTCACATTAGGTACTTCTCAAGAACCATGAATAAAGGTGGAAAAGTAAATGATACACACCTGCATACGAGAGATGGGCAATTTCGAGCTGAGCAGATAAAATAGCATTAGCCAAACACAAGTTGCCCTCACTATTCTCAAAATCAATGAGATTAACTTTATGAGGCATAGTTGAAGATCCAATCTCCCCAGCCTTGGTCATCTAGAAAGCAAAATTATCATGAAATTGTTTAGTTCCAAATTAGAAGTTTAGGAGCTAAAATAGGTCCTAATATTTTAGGGGCATGTGGTCAAGCATAAGAAAGTTACCTGCTTAAAATAACCTAACGAAATATGGCTCCATATGACCCGATCAAAATCAGTCAGGATGTTATTAAACTGAACAACTGTATTGAAAAGCTTTGCGATATAGTCATGCGGCTCAATCTGCATACGGAGCAAGCAACAGGCTCAGAAAGAGAGTATGCATGCAAGTCAAGTGCCATTCCATTCATAGGCCACATTGACATAACCTTTCAGACAACACAAACTTAACAAAATTATTAGCTGGCGCTGCAATTCCATTATTATTTATGCACTAACTGGTTGGTGTAGAATAAGCTAATTGATAAATGTACTGTAATTCCAAGATAGATGGATAACCTGCAAGAGTATCTACTTATTATCAAGCATGCACATGGTAGTATCTACTTACTATATGAATCACCTTTTGTAAACTCTTGAAATGTGAAATGGAAAAAAAACCTACATTTCGATCACCTGTGTCGATTGCAAAACTCATATTAAAGAAAATCCCAAGGCTCTATTAGTTATACACATACAGTTTGTATAGTTGCCTAAATCTTCACGAGGACTGTTTACTAGTAAACTAGATCAAGCAGAGAACAAGGAATACAAGCAGCAGTGTCAAAACAGGTAAATAAAGTACTCATCCCATTAATGAAACCTATCCAAGTCATCCACAAAGAAAAAACCGTATCAAACTCGTCTATACAGGATAAAATCTTTGGGGTTAGGTTTCAACCCTTACGTGACACATGCTTGTTTATTTACTTCTACTACTTTTCTCTTTGCAAGGTTTTACCTATCTGATTCATTTCAGCTTGATGGATCTTTTTTTTGCGTAATTAAGTAGTGCATAGACGATTTTGATATGGTTTTTTGAATTCAAATTCAACATATGCCCAACCCAAATAGCTAAAGCAAGAACAGAACAAACAACATACATGAAGCAAAGAACGACGACAGCGGCGCATTTCCTACCAATAACACATCTAGCTTTATATTTAATTCTCTAGTGATAACCATCTCATACAGATTTTACTATTAACCTAAAGCTTCCGGATTCCTTGTAGTGCACTTTTGTATGCCAAGAGAGAATACCCAGATCCAATACCCAAATTCTAGAGCCTTGGGATTTTCTTTAATATGAGTTTTGCAATCGACTCAGGTGACTGAAATGTAGGTTTTTTTGGCCATTTCACGTTTCAAGAGTTTACAAAAGGTGATTCATCTAGTAAGTAGATACTACCATGTGCATGCTTGATAATAAGTAGATACACTTGCAGGTTATCCATCTATCTTGGAATTACAATACATTTATCAATTAGCCTATTCTACACCAACCAGTTAGTGCATAAATAATAATGGAATTACAGCACCAGCTAATAATTTTGTTAAGTTTGTGTTGTCTGAAAGGTTATGTCAATGTGGCCTATGAATGGAATGGCACTTGACTTGCATGCATACTCTCTTTCTGAGCCTGTTGCTTGCTCCGTATGCAGATTGAGCCACATGATTATATCACAAAGCTTTTCAATGCAGTTGTTCAGTTTAATAACATCCTGACTAATTTTGATCGGGACATATGGAGCTATATTTCGTTAGGTTATTTTAAGCAGGTAACTTTCGTATGCTTGACCACATGCCCCTAAAATATTAGGACCTATTTTAGCTCCCAAACTTCCAATTTGGAACTAAACAATTTCATGATAATTTTGCTTTCTAGATGACCAAGGCTGGGGAGATTGGATCTTCAACTATGCCTCATAAAGTTAATCCCATTGATTTTGAGAATAGTGAGGGCAACTTGTGTTTGGCTAATGCTATTTTATCTGCTCTCAGCTCGAAATTGCCCATCTCTCGTATGCAGGTGTGTGTCGTTTACTTTTCCACCTTTATTCATGGTTCTTGAGGAGTACCTAATGTGAAGTTCAGTGCTATATCACAGTTCAAAAAACACGTCTTTAGTGTCTCATTCTGGTAAAGTGATACTATACTTATTGTATGTGTAATCATTGACAGAGGGATTTGACCGATTCCACTGTTTTGAGGAATTTGGGTATTGGATCTGGGTATTCTCTCTTGGCATACAAAAGTGCACTACAAGGAATCCGGAATCTTCAGGTTAGTGGTAAAATCTGTATGAGATGGTTATCACTAGAGAATTAGATATAAAGCTAGATGTGTTATTGGTAGGAAATGCGCCGCTGTCGTCGTTCTTTGCTTCATGTATGTTGTTTGTTCTGTTCTTGCTTTAGCTATTTGGGTTGGGCATATGTTGAATTTGAATTCGTCACTAATGCAAGATGCTAAATTCTGTGAATTACAAGATCATAGAAATGTGGAGGATCCATTTCAAGATGAATTCTTGTCTTGCTGTCAACATAATTTCTATCCAATTTACATCCATCTAATAATATATATGATTTTTACGGATGTTTAAGTTTTTTTCTATACAAGTATTTCTTTTCTAAAATTGTACTAACCATTTTCCTCAAAAATATTGTATGAACTATGTCTTTGCTATCCTTTTCAATTTCCTTTAGATCTATTATTTTGGATCCATAACTATGATATTTGGCATGATTCTTTTGCAAAAATTCTGTCTATACGTCCTAGTAGTTGATGCGAAGAAAGATACATCTAAAAGTGGCAAAAGCTCCTTTTTTGCTGAATATGCTGCCGGTGTATAAAGACAATCCCACTGTTAACATTTAATCAAGTTTATTCTGAAACTTGCCCAAATTAGTTTGAAGTTTAAAGCTCATTATTTTAAAGTAATAATACTTTGATTGTACATTTTTGATATAGTGCTATCAATATGTCTCATTCCAAATTACATATTTAATAATGACATAGACTCATGAAATTACACTGCTTTGTAACTCTCTTTGTTTCTTAATGTCTTATTGTATATTTAGAAAATTATAGACAAAATGGTTTTATGTCTGCTTTGAATTCAACTAAAGAACTTGCTATTGAAATGAACGTACAACCTAAATTTCTTTTTAAAAGTAGAGATTAATAGTCCAATTGAAGTGCTGAACTATATAAAGTGGTTAGATTCTTTTCCAAATACTTGTATTTCTTATCGTGTACTATTGATTATACCCGTAACAGTTGCTTCCGCTGAAAGAAGTTTTTCAAAAATAAAATTACTAAAATCTTATTTAAGACCGACCATGGTACAAGATAGATTGAATGGTTTAGCAATATTATCTATCGAAAATAATATGTTAAAAAATATTAAATATAATACTTTAATTAGTAATTTTGCAGCTCAAAATGTAGGAAGAATGAGATAAAATCTATTATGAGTTGCAGTGTTATAAAAAACGCCCTGGGCGGCCGCCTAGGCGCCCGCCTAGGCGGAGGCGATGCCCAGGGCGTTTAAATGAGCCTTGAGCGGCCACCTTTTGGCGCTGGGAGCGGCTATGCGGCCGCCCAAAGCTAGAAGCTCGAGCTCGTCTTCAACCTCGTCTTCGATCTTCAACATCCGAGCTTCAACCTCGTTTCGAACTCGTCGAAGCTTCGTCTTCAACCTCCGAGCTTCAACCTCGTCTTCTAACTCGTCGGAGCTTCGTCTTCAACCTCCGAGCTTTGTCGTCAACCTCTGAGCTCGTCTTCAACCTCCGATCTGTTCCTCGTCGGAGCTCGAACTCGTCGAAGCCTCTCGATTCTCGAAGCCTTTGGGAGTCTGCTTCATCCCTGTAACAAGGTAAAGGATTTAATGTTATTTTCTTATTTTATTTATCATTTTACTATTTCAGACTTCAGTGATGACCTTTGATTTCAAGTTTTTTGGTTTAAAGGTTAACAACTTAACATTAATATGGTTTTGGTGTTTTCAGATCATCCGTGTAATTAAGATGAACAGAACAGACATTAAACAATGGTGTAAATGGGCAAATCAAGAAAGATTAATAACTTGAAACTTATGATGTGTTTGATGGAAAGGCATAATGTAAATGAGTCTGTTAAGAAAAGCTAAATACTAGCTCTAACATATCAAATTAGCTCACCGAATTCATTAGTCATGTTAGTTTGCTGCTTCTGTTTTTTTGGGATGCTCACTGAATTCATTAGTCAAGTTTTTTGGGTTTATCAGCAGCTTGTTCCCTTTTGAGTCCAATATCATGATTCGTGTATCTTTGAATATATGGGGAAAGATAGTTTTACCTCTTTTAAATGTTAGAAAAGGTTCCCTTTTTGCTTAGTGCAGATATTGAGTTAAAAACTAGGTACCTGCTTCTGGTTAATCCCTTTTTGCTGTTCACACTTCTTTTTTCTTTAATTTTTTCTTCTGTTCACACTCCACACTTCACACACTTCACAATTTTGAAAATAGGAATACAATATGAATATACATATTTAATGAATGAATTATCGATATTTAATTTGGTAGTTGTGTTGGGAAATTTGATTGATCCTTCATCCTTGCAGCTTGCTACTTAACTAAGTATAATCTGTAAAAAAAGAAAAACAAAGTCAGTGAGTATTTTTGATTGAGTATATATATATTTATCTTGAAGTATCACAATTAAAAATAGAAAAAAGAAAAAAACCGTCCAGAAACCGCTTAGGCGCCCGCCTAGGCGTCTAAGCGCTGGGCGCCAAGTCCGGCGCCTAGGGGCGTCCAGCGTTTAATGTAACAGTGATGATTTGTATCACTTAGGCCTCATCTAATATTTCGTCTTGGGCCCTAAAATTCCTAGGTACGCCCTGCTCCGTGGAAAAGCTCTTATCACCCCCTCGAGCCCCGTTCGCTTTCTTGCCGCCCTTTTCCTCCTCTCCCTCTTCGTCTTCGATCAGCATACGATCAGGCCAGCTAGGGTTTCGGATTCAGCCCACCCCTCCTCGGCGATTCGAACCACTTAGGGTTTCGTTGAGCAGTTCAGAAGGAGTCACGACTACGAAGGTAAAGATCTCCATTCCCGGTTTCTTGGCTGGGGAATTTTCACGAACGCAACCCTTGCCTTTTATTGACTGCATGCTTGTTTTTTGTTTTTTTTTGATTATTTCGTTGTTAAGTTTTCTTAAATCTCATATACTATAATCTTGAAATGTTTCTCAAAAGTGGCATCTTTTGGATTTTTGAATAAAGATATGATTTTTTTATAAGTTTACAGGAGGGAATATTTTGGTAAAACTTTTAGTAAAAATAAATATCATATGGTATAGGTCATTTTTTTTTCTTCTTCGGAATTTGTAATGTAGGGCTCCACTGTTGTATTTTGAATTTCAGGTTCTTAATTTTTTAAAAAAAATAGAGATGATCCTTTGGCAGTCCCTAATTTATAGGTAGCTGTATTCCATCCAATAATTGGGCTTGTGAATCTTCAATGATGATTAAGTTTGATCCGGAATGATCTAATTTTTTGGTGATCAGTTTTCTTCAATTTTCCTCATATTTGGACAACTGGTTGAATATGTTTTGGCTGTGTAAACTTTAATGTTTTAGATGCAGCATCATCGTGAAGAGGAGGTTGTTGATCTTGAGTCTTTTAGCATTATGGCTTTATCACCTTTAGATGGCCGATATTTGCAGAAAGTCAAGGATTTGTACCCATTCTTTAGTGAATATGGGTTAATCCGTTACCGTGTAATGGTTGAGGTAATTTTCATTAAATTCTCCTGTAAGAATACATATTTAATAAGTATTTTTTTATTCAACACCAGTGCACAGTGTTAGTCTTACATTATGTTTTTTTAAGAATAGTGGTTTCATATTTAAATGTAGATTATACAATCATTTTTGTAGCGAATGATAAAGAAATGTTTCTGGTAAAGCATGAAGAAACTGTTGTTGATTGGATATCCTTGTTCCGTCTGGCTTACAAATCATAATGTCTCAGGACAAATCATAATGTCTCAGGTATTTAGATAAAAGGTTTAAAGCCTTAGTTAAAGGTTTAAAGTTGTGCCAAAAATGTTCCGTGAATCGTTAGGATATTTATATTTGATATGCATATTTGACATTAATACACATCTTCTAATAAATTTGCATATGATGTAGTATTAGCAGTTTCTGTATGAGTCCATCGAACATTGTTTATTTAGGTCATGCTTATTAGTGTGCTTTCTTTTACAATCTAGCAAAACGTACAGCCTCTGCTTTGATATAGGTAGCAATCTTCATTAAAACTTGTCATAATGTAGTCATGTCTTGGGTAATGGAGAAAGAGGTAACTTATAAGTAAAAAAAGTTTACCTCTTTCTCTATTACCCATCATGATCTGACAAAGCTGGCCACTGTAGTTATTTTCATGTTAGCTACTTAGTGCAAAATGTTAATATGAAGCGATTCTTTTGTAGGTAAAATGGTTGCTAAAATTATCAGAAATACCTGAAATCAAGGAGGTTCAAAGCTTTAGCGAGAATGCCAGGTCTTATTTAGAAAGTATAGTTAGTGGCTTCAGCAAAGCTGATGCTCTGGAAGTGAAAAAGATTGAAAAAGTAACTAACCACGATGTTAAGGCAGTGGAATACTTCTTGAGATGGTTGTAAATTGGATAGAAATTATGTTGACAGCAAGACAAGAATTCATCTTGAAATGGATCCTCCACATTTCTATGATCTTGTAATTCATAGAATTTAGCATTTTGCATTAGTGACGAATTCAAATTCAACATATGCCCAACCCAAATAGCTAAAGCAAGAACAGAACAAACAACATACATGAAGCAAAGAACGATGACAGCGGCGCATTTCCTACCAATAACACATCTAGCTTTATATTTAATTCTCTAATGATAACCATCTCATACAAATTTTACTACTAACCTGAAGCTTCCGGATTCCTTGTAGTGTACTTTTGTATGCCAAGAGAGAATACCCAGATCCAATACCCAAATTCCTCAAAACAGTGGAATCGGTCAAATCCCTCTGTCAATGATTACACATGCAATAAGTATAGTATCACTTTACCAGAATGAGACACTAAAGACGTGTTTTTTGAACTGTGATATAGCACTGAACTTCACATTAGGTACTCCTCAAGAACCATGAATAAAGGTGGAAAAGTAAATGATACACACCTGCATACGAGAGATGGGCAATTTCGAGCTGAGAGCTAGCAGATAAAATAGCATTAGCCAAACACAAGTTGCCCTCACTATTCTCAAAATCAATGGGATTAACTTTATGAGGCATAGTTGAAGATCCAATCTCCCCAGCCTTAGTCATCTGGAAAGCAAAATTATCATGAAATCGTTTAGTTCCAAATTAGAAGTTTGGGAGCTAAAATAGGTCCTAATATTTTAGGGGCATGTGGTCAAGCATAAGAAAGTTACCTGCTTAAAATAACCTAACGAAATATAGCTCCATATGTCCTGATCAAAATCAGTCAGGATGTTATTAAACTGAACAACTGCATTGAAAAGCTTTGCGATATAGTCATGCGGCTCAATCTGTATATGGAGCAAGCAACAGGCTCAGATAGAGAGTATGCATGCAAGTCAAGTGCCATTCCTTTCATAGGCCATATTGACGTAACCTTTTAGACAACACAAACTTAACAAAATTATTAGCTTGTGCTGCAATTCCATTATTATTTATGCACTAACTGGTTGGTGTAGAATAGGCTAATTGATAAATGTACTGTAATTCCAAGATAGATGGATAACCTGCAAGTGTATCTACTTATTATCAAGCATGCACATGATAGTATCTACTTACTATATGAATCACCTTTTGTAAACTCTTGAAACGTGAAATGGCAAAAAAAACCTACATTTCAGTCACCTGAGTCGAATGCAAAACTCATATTAAAGAAAATCCCAGGCTCTATTAGTTATACACTTATACAGTTTGTATAGTTGCCTAAATCTTCACGAGGACTGTTTACTAGTAAACTAGATCAAGCAGAGAACAAGGAATACAAGCAGCAGTGTCAAAACAGGTAAATAAAGTACTCATCCCATTAATGAAACCTATCCAAGTCATCCACAAAGAAAAAACCATATCAAACTCGTCTATGCATTACTTAATTACGCAAAAAAAATCCATCAAGCTGAAATGAATCAGATAGGTAAAACCTTGCAAAGAGAAAAGTAGTAGAAGTAAATAAACATGCCTGTGTCACGTAAGGGTTGAAACCTAACCCCAAAGAGGTCACGAACTCAGCTGCAACAGTTGGCCAATCAATATCAGGATATGCAACTTTATGTGCATTGTAGTTTCCAACAGCTCCAGCACACTTGCCCAATATTTGCACATCTGTAAAGGTCTTCCCTACTTCACTTAGTCTGAAAGCAAAATTTGCCATCTCCTTTCCCAAAGTAGTGGGTGAAGCAGGCTACAAAGGGAGTTAGAAGATATCAGAACTAAACCACATAAACCTATTACAAAAGCAAATCATTTATTCCTGTAGCATAACGATGAAAATTATCAATATGATATTTCAGTTGCTTTGAGCAGTCAACTTAGTATATGTTCGCTTCTACTATTGGCCATCCTTACATAAGCGACGTCCTCATCGTGACATAACAATTGGCACATCCCGGTATCACTAGGCTATTTGGACTCTAGAGGTGGCTCCCGCCGCACTCACGCAATATAGCACTTAGCCCCGCATAACACTTAGGCCTCGTTTGGTACGCAGGAATGGGGTGAATGGAATGGTCATTCTCACTTCTCATTCCTTCCTATCAAGCACACCCTCTTTTTTGAAGTTAGAATGCTCATTCTCACTTCTCATTAATTCTCACTTTATGTGGGAATGAGCATTCCCAATGAAATGATAGGGAATGGACATTCCCACTTAAATGAGAATCTATAAAATATACAATTTTAAAATACGTCCATTCCCACTTCTTTTTATAAATTACACCCAAACGTGAGAATGAGAATGACTATTCCATTATCACCTTAATTCCATTTCATCCCTTCTTCCATTCCATTCTCATTTGAGTCCATTCCCGCGTACCCCACTTAAATGAGAATCAATAAAATATACAATTTTAAAATACGTCCATTCCCACTTCTTTTTATAAATTACACCCAAACGTGAGAATGAGAATGACTATTCCATTATCACCTTAATTCCATTTCATCCCTTCTTCCATTCCATTCTCATTTGAGTCCATTCCCGCGTACCAAACGAGGCGTTAGTTCCACCCTTCCGACTCGCAACTGCTCTGATACAATTTGTCACGCCCCGGGCCGCCGGGCCCATTGGTGCAATACAAGCCGTGGGACCCACTAAGTGTAACACGTTTGGCTCGACCCACCAAGTTTAAGTTTTTTTCTATATAAGTATTTCTTTTCTAAAATTGTACTAACCAAAATCGACTAGTTGATCCATTTCAAGTCACTAACCACGATGTTAAAGCAGTGGAATACTTCTTGAAACAGAAATGTCAATCCAATGCTAAGATTGGTGAGGTGAGTTTTTGATGTTCCTTGTTGTGGGTACTCTATGCTTCCTCTTTTTATAACTATGACTAACTGTGATTTCAAAGATTTCATTTGATGCTTAATATTTGACATCAGATTCTACAAAATTCTTTTTTAGGTACTGGAGTTTTTCTATTTTGCTTGTACATCAGAGGATATAAATAATTTAGCCCATGCATTGGCACTGAAGGAGGCGTTCAACACTGTCATTTTTCCTGTGATGATTGAGTTGTTGAATGCAATATGCAAATTAGCGAAGGAAAATGCTCATATCTCCATGTCTCGCACTCATGGACAGGTATTTTCAGTTCTAGATGAGAGGCAACTCTTGTTATAACGGAACACCAACTTTTTGTGATTATATGTTATCTACAAAAACTTTAATGCTATAAAAGCATAATTGAAAATCTTATATTTCCCTTTTATTTGTGTTTACACATAGGACATAGTTTATTGTATATATTGATTAAAAAAAAGAATCAGAAGCTATTAGACTAACTAAATGCAGAGAATGCTTCAAGGAAAAAGAAAAATTCTTTTTTATTTCCATGAACTAATTTATTTAGCAATCCTAAATTCCAAGGTTGCTGATCGCGGCGCGTCGCGGCGAGGTACCGCTAAGGCTATATCGGGCTATTGCGGCGAAATCACGGCAAATAGCGCACAGTCAAATAGCGGTCAAATTTAAATATATTTAAATATCCTAAATAATAAGAAAATTCATAAAAAAATCTAAAAATTTAATTAGTTGTAAATTTCTTGCATTATCAATAAATAACAATTAATAAGCTTGTTGTATGAATGAAACTATGAAGAAATTCAAGAAATATAGCATCATAATATGTGTGATAGCGGGTTTAGCCGCTTTTAACAACAAAAATCCGCTTTAACCGCGAAAATCCGCTTTTAACCGCGAAAGCCCGCTTTTAACCCGCTAAAATCCGTTTTTACGCGCTATTCGAATGAATAGCGGATTTTCCCGCTTAAGACGCGCTATTCGAATGAATAGCGGATTTTCCCGCTTAAGCCAGCCGCGAAACCCCTACGCGTAGCGCTACCGCTATTCGCGCCGCTATAGTCCCGCTATTGGCCGCTATTTACAACACTGCTAAATTCTTAATGAAATTTATCCCAAATGGAGAAGGGATGCAACTGACAAGAGCACGTTTAGAGAAGGATTAGAGAAGTGGGAGTACTCAAAGAAAAACAAAGTACTCTTGAGTTTAAAAAGTTAAACTTAATCTAAGGTGCACAGGGTAATATTCCACTAAGAATTTTTCCCTAATGTCCTGGTGGTGGATCTTTTTTGGTTGAAATAACTCAAAAGATTTCTGGCTGGTCATTTCGGTGAAAATTTTTTATATAAAGGTTAAGTTTTTTTTTGGGGGGGCTTATATAGAAATAATTAAATAATGATTACATGCTGAAACTCTGGAATTTTCTACATGGGCCTAATACATCATGTATAATTACTGGTTTGATAAAGATTATACTGTCTATCTTTGTTCATATATGTTTGCAGGACATGTTCTACATTCCTTTCTTCATGAGTTTTTAGCTTGATGCTATGAAATAAATTAAATGGAACCTTTTCAATTTGAAGGTTAAAAATAATATAATCATGTCTTTTTTTTGGCCTGTCACACTCTTATTTAGTCCTATATCGAAAAATGAGTGAGAAGTTAAGTTGCTTAAATAGGTATGGCAGTGGGTTGAGCCAAACGTGTTACACTTAGTGGGTCCCACGGCTTGTATTGCACCAATGGGCCCGGCGGCCCGGGGCGTGACAAATTGTATCAGAGCAGTTGCGAGTCGGAAGGGTGGAACTAACGCCTCGTTTGGTACGCGGGAATGGACTCAAATGAGAATGGAATGGAAGAAGGGATGAAATGGAATTAATGTGATAATGGAATAGTCATTCTCATTCTCACGTTTGGGTGTAATTTGTAAAAGGAAGTGGGAATGGACGTATTTTAAAATTGTATATTTTATTGATTCTCATTTAAGTGGGAATGCCCATTCCCTATCATTTCATTGTGAATGCTCATTCCCACATAAAGTGAGAATTAATGAGAAGTGAGAATGAGCATTCTAACTTCAAAAAAGAGGGTGTGCTTGATAGGAAGGAATGAGAAGTGAGAATGACCATTCCATTCCACCCCATTCCTGCGTACCAAACGAGGCCTAAGTGTTATGCGGGGCTAAGTGCTATATTGCGTGAGTGCGGCGGGAGCCATCTCTAGAGTCCAAATAGCCTAGTGATACCGGGATGTGCCAATTGTTATGTCACGATGAGAACGTCGCTTATGTAAGGTGGGGTGTTCGTGACACTCCTATGTAAGGTGGGGTGTAACATCGGTTAGTCAATTTTGGCAGTGGATTGAGACAAACAACACGTTACACTTGTTGGGTCCCACGGCTTGTACCGCACCAATGGGCCCTTCAGCACGGGGCGTGACATGGCCAATAGTAGAAGCGGACATATACTAAGTTGACTGCTCAAAGCAACTGAAATATCATATTGATAATTTTCATCGTTATGCTACAGGAATAAATGATTTGCTTTTGTAATAGGTTTATGTGGTTTAGTTCTGATATCTTCTAACTCCCTTTGTAGCCTGCTTCACCCACTACTTTGGGAAAGGAAATGACAAATTTTGCTTTCAGACTAAGTGAAGTAGGGAGGACCTTTACAGAAGTGCAACTATTGGGCAAGTGTGCTGGAGCTGTTGGAAACTACAATGCACATAAAGTTGCATATCCTGATATTGATTGGCCAACTGTTGCAGCTGAGTTCGTGACCTCTTTGGGGTTAGGTTTCAACCCTTACGTGACACATGCATGTTTATTTACTTCTACTGCTTTTCTCTTTGCAAGGTTTTACCTATCTGATTCATTTCAGCTTGATGGATTTTTTTTTTTGCGTAATTAAGTAATGCATAGACGAGTTTGATATGGTTTTTTCTTTGTGGATGACTTGGATAGGTTTCATTAATGGGATGAGTACTTTATTTACCTGTTTTGACACTGCTGCTTGTATTCCTTGTTCTCTGCTTGATCTAGTTTACTAGTAAACAGTCCTCGTGAAGATTTAGGCAACTATACAAACTGTATAAGTGTATAACTAATAGAGCCTTGGGATTTTCTTTAATATGAGTTTTGCAATCGACTCAGGTGACTGAAATGTAGGTTTTTTTTTGCCATTTCACGTTTTAAGAGTTTACAAAAGGTGATTCATATAGTAAGTAGATACTACCATGTGCATGCTTGATCATAAGAAGATACACTTGCAGGTTATCCATCTATCTTGGAATTACAGTACATTTATCAATTAGCCTATTCTACACCAACCAGTTAGTGCATAAATAATAATGGAATTGCAGCGCCAGCTAATAATTTTGTTAAGTTTGTGTTGTCTGAAAGGTTATGTCAATGTGGCCTATGAATGGAATGGCACTTGACTTGCATGCATACTCTCTTTATGAGCCTGTTGCTTGCTCCGTATGCAGATTGAGCCGCATGACTATATCGCAAAGCTTTTCAATGTAGTTGTTCAGTTTAATAACATCCATCCTGATTTTGATCGGGACATATGGAGCTATATTTCGTTAGGTTATTTTAAGCAGGTAACTTTCGTATGCTTGACCACATGCCCCTAAAATATTAGGACCTATTTTAGCTCCCAAACTTCCAATTTGGAACTAAACAATTTCATGATAATTTTGCTTTCTAGATGACCAAGGCTGGGGAGATTGGATCTTCAACTATGCCTCATAAAGTTAATCCCATTGATTTTGAGAATAGTGAGGGCAACTTGTGTTTGGCTAATGCTATTTTATCTGCTCTCAGCTCGAAATTGCCCATCTCTCGTATGCAGGTGTGTATCATTTACTTTTCCACCTTTATTCATGGTTCTTGAGGAGTACCTAATGTGAAGTTCAGTGCTATATCACAGTTCAAAAAACACGTCTTTAGTGTCTAATTCTGGTAAAGTGATGCTATACTTATTGTATGTGTAATCATTGACAGAGGGATTTGACCGATTCCACTGTTTTGAGGAATTTGGGTATTGGATCTGGGTATTCTCTCTTGGCATACAAAAGTGCACTACAAGGAATCCGGAATCTTCAGGTTAAGATGGTTATCACTAGAGAATTAGATATAAAGCTAGATGTGTTATTGGTAGGAAATGCGCCGCTGTCGTCGTTCTTTGCTTCATGTATGTTGTTTGTTCTGTTCTTGTTTTAGCTATTTGGGTTGGGCATATGTTGAATTTGAATTCGTCACTAATGCAAGATGCTAAATTCTGTGAATTACAAGATCATAGAAATGTGGAGGATCCATTTCAAGATGAATTCTTGTCTTGCTGTCAACATAATTTCTATCCAATTTACATCCATCTTATAATATATATGATTTTTACGAATGTTTACGTTTTTTCTATATAAGTATTTCTTTTCTAAAATCGTACTAACCATTTTCCTCAAAAATATTGTATGAACTATGTCTTTGCTATCCTTTTCAATTTCCTTTAGATCTATTATTTGGGATCCATAACTATGATATCTGGCATGATTCTTTTGCAAAAATTCTGTCTGTACGTCCTAGTAGTTGATGCGAAGAAAGATACATCTAAAAGTGGCAAAAGCTCCTTTTTTGCTCAATATGCTACCGATGTATAAAGACAATTCCACTGTTAACATTTAATCAAGTTTATTCTGAAACTTGCCCAAATTAGTTTGAAGTTTAAAGCTCATTATTTTAAAGTAATAATACTTTGATTGTACATTTTTGATACAGTGCTATCAATATGTCTCATTCCAAATTACATATTTAATAATGACATAGACTCATGAAATTACACTGCTTTGTAACTCTCTTCGTTTCTTAATGTCTTATTGTATATTTAGAAAATTATAGACAAAATGGTTTTATGTCTGCTTTGAATTCAACTAAAGAACTTGCTATTGAAATGAACGTACAACCTAAATTTCTTTTTAAAAGTAGAGATTAATAGTCCAATTGAAGTGCTGAACTATATAAAGTGGTTAGATTCTTTTCCAAATACTTGTATTCCCTGTATGCCACATGCCCATAAATCTGAGTAGACCCATGATTTTGCTTTCATACTCAGCTACCAGTGTTGTAAAAAACGCCCTGGGCGGTCGCCTAGGCGCCCGCCTAGGCGGAGGCGGTGCCCAGTGCGTTTAAATCAGCCTTGAGCGGTCACCTTTAGGCGCTGGGAGCGCCTAGGCGGCCGCCCAAAGCTAAGCGGGCCGCTTAAGCAGCCCGTTCCACTTTAAAAGAAAAAAAAACACTTAAAGCCCCAGTCCCCAAACCCAAAACTCAAACCCAAAAACCAAAAACCCAAACCCAAAACCTACGTAACCCTAATTCTCATTTCTCACTCACCCGACGCCGCAAGAAATTTCCATCGACCGAGCTCATCTTCAACCTCGTCGAACTGTCTTCATCTTCGTCGAAGCTCGAGCTCGTCTTCAACCTCGTCTTCGATCTTCAACATCCGAGCTTCAACCTCGTTTCGAACTCGTCGAAGCTTCGTCTTAAACCTCCGAGCTTCAACCTCGTCTTCGAACTCGTCGGAGCTTCGTCTTCAACCTCCGAGCTTTGTCGTCATCCTCTGAGCTCGTCTTCAACCTCCGATCTGTTCCTCGTCGGAGCTCGAACTCGTCGAAGCCTCTCGATTCTCGAAGCCTTTGGGTGTCTGCTTTATCCCTGTAACAAGGTAAAGGATTTAATGTTATTTTCTTATTTTATTTATTATTTTACTATTTCAGACTTCAGTGATGACCTTTGATTTCAAGTTTTTTGGTTTAAAGGTTAACAACTTA